ACGCTTTTTTACGTAATGTGTTTGGTGTGAGAGATACTCATAGAATCAGTTTTACATGGACATATATATATATATATATATATATATATATATATATACGTATGGTTTGTCATTTTTTCAATCCTCAAAATTAACGTTTTTTGAAAAATGACAGACCACTTAAAAGAAACTAATTATATTGACCTTACGCAACCATTGATTTTAAATGAATTAGACTATGAAAAAGAAGATGAAAAAAAAATTGAAATTTTTAAAAGTTTTAATACTCATGTTAATGAATGTATTAATCTTATCGACGACATTGATGAAAAACACAGAGATGAAACTAGAGACGATTGTGTAAATATTATTTAGCACGTGATTTTAGAAATTACGATCGTGTGTTATCGTTATCTGTTATTAATTTGCTGTTATTAATTTACACACACATATAATATATATCACCATCTTTTTCCTTTTATGAAGAATGGCATTGGCTTTTGTGGCTTAACTCCAACTAGAAATGTCGGTTCATCGGCAGAGATCAAAAAGCAAGAAAACTTTTTTAAAGATGAAATTCACGACAATGACTTTTTAACATCTGGAAAATTAACAAATGCAAGTATATAACGATAGATATAATATAAATTCATATATTTATATTATTATATATATACTGTTTATATATATATATATACATATATTCATAAAAATAATTTACATTTTTTTTTTTTTTAGATATTTCGGAAAGACTTAAAGAAACCATTGGATAACGACTCTGATGATACCTATGATAATAGCTCTGATAATGACTCAGGTGAAAGTGAACTTGACGAAGGTTTTTTTTCTAAACTTTCTTTTGGGTCATCAAAAAGATTGAAATTTTTAAAGGATGAAGATGAAGATTTCAAGGATGAAAAAGATCTTAAACCTAATAAAATTAATGCAATTGGTAACAAAAAGCGTAAGAAAAAACCTAGTAGAGTCATTCCTTGGACAAAAGCAGAGGAAGGTCAACTTATGCAAGCAATAGAAACTCATGGAACTAAATGGAGTATGGTAAGAGAATCAATGGGGTGCAAACGCGCCGCCTATTGCTATCAAAGTCATTGGAACGTAATGAAGAAAAGATTGTAAGAAAAGATTGTAAAAAAATAATGTTCATCTCTTAAATAACTTAAATAACTTAAATAAGAGGAATATAATAAATTTGTATGCAATTCATTAAAAAAAAAAAAATTGTTAAAAAAAATGTACAAATGTGATATATAATATTCTCTAAAATACATTTGAAATATTTGAAATATTTGAAATAAAAACTTGTTATTTTAAAAAAAAAAATTTATAAGATTTATAAATTTGTTAAATAATTTTTAAGCCCGATTTGTCGGGTGTTCCGACTTTTCCGCCTTTTCCGACTGTTTCTCTTTTCCCATATTTTTAAGTCTATTTCCTACGTTACGTATATGTGGAGTTCTTCCTTGTGGGTAAAACTTGTCAGTTTTATATTTGTATTGGAAGAGCATACCAAGAATGAATGCAACAACCATAGCTGCCAGCATAATATAAATTTTAGGATTTGTTTCATAAGCTGGAAGATTATGATTTCCATCTAAAAAGGTAACAACAGATTGTGCAAATCCTGTGCGAACAAACATATCAACTCCAAGGATTATAGCATACGCGCCTATAAAGGCTGTTGCCGCTATAATGATCACATCAAAGAAGCAGCACGTGAGAAGTAGTCCAATAAGTGTACAAACTATAATTAGAATTATCCTTCCAGTAGATGAATGTATTACACCACCAGAAGCCCACGCGAGTATAAATAAGGCAAATAAGTAACCAGCAAGTGCTCCTAATAACCAGATTGCTATTTCCGCACAACAAATGAACAGCAATCCAACGAATACACCTACTGCCAGGGAAACGAGTAAAATAATCGTTGGGCTTTTGGTTCCACTAAATCCACCGGGTGGTTCATTATTAGTGAGTGCCATCCATGTAGCAATGACTGTTAAAGAAGAAATTTAAATTTTAAAATTGTAATAATAATAATATATGTAATAAATAATTAAAGATCATAATAATTATAATAATTTAAAACATACCTCCTATATAAAATCCAATCAAGAATAATGTAAGATAATATACCCTTCTTCCGAAGAAGCAATAAATAATTCCGGTAACGACGAGAATGATACCCACAACGATTTCATGAGGTGTAAGTTCACCTGAACTTTGAGCGACGGTAGTAGTCGGGTTAGAAATGTTAGGGTTAGAAAGGTCAGGAATACCAGGAATATCAGCGGGTACTGCATTAACTACATTGATAATTGAAGAAAATACACCAAATAAGAAGCCCAAAAGTAATATAAGAGATGACCACTTTGGCGCAGGAAAAGATTTGTACATTTTTTCTTTTTTAAAAAAAAACCAACTGATGAAGTACTTACTAGAAAAAAGCGGATGTTTTTTATCGTTTTATAATTTTACTTAAGGTTAAATCAGGTGATAAAAAGTGATAAAATAATGTAGCGATAGCCACTAACTTTTGTCGGAAAATAAAAAAAAATCAGCCGCACATATATATAGTACATACATACAAGACAAGACACTGCCAAGCTGTAACACCAATAGCATCACAATTACATATGTCTGTATGACTGTATAATGTGATGGACTATATAGAGTATTAAAAGGTTAGTTTAAGGATTAGAAGGTATTTTCGATTTTCGATTTTTCCATTTTCCACATAGAATCTTATAAATAGTTCCGACCTAATTAATATTTGGTTAAATAATTAATTTCTTGGCCAGTACATATATATATTTTTTTTGAAAAAATTTTCCTATGAATTTATATCGTACGTATCAAAGGATAAATGAAATAAGATTGACACTTTTACGTCATATATATATGTTTCATAAAGTTACTACGTACGATACAATGATTCAAAGTTTTTACTTTTTTGGTTAATTTACTAAAAATACCCATTGAAAACCTTAAATGTAAATAAAATAATATGGTGATTTTTACGAGTGTAAATAATAATTTAGTGATACCTTCTTTATTTAAATCTTATTAACTTATGTATTTATGTATGTATGTATGTACATATATATCAATGTTAATTGGTATTAATTGCTACGTATGTATGTACGTACGTACGTACGTGTAATTAGGTGACTATAGAGAGTGGTGATTTTGTACCATTAGTTATAATAATATTCTTCTTCTTTTTTATCTATAGTGTTAAAACAAAGAGTCAAGTGTCCAGTCTTATTGTTATCGTTACACCTCTTTATCAAAATGATGTTTATCAAAACTATGTGAAATTAATTCACATGATGCTTACACAATGGGATTTTTAAGTTTCCTGTGGTACTTTGCATTAATTTTTAATTTCCAATGATTTTCCATTGACTCAACCTACTCAACCTGTTTAGACCATCTCAACCTGTTTAGACCATCTCAACCTGTTTAGACCATCTCAACCTGTTTAGACCATCTCAACCTGTTTAACCATCTCAAACAGTTTGGATAATATCTATTACATATTACCTTTTTTATAAAATTCTTTTTTATACCAATACATT